CTCGACTTCTCTACAGCTTTCTTACAGGGTAGCCTTCACGAGGCCATCTGGTTGCGCCGTCCACAGGGCTTCACTGGGTCGTTTCCTGAGGGTACCAAATGGAGCCTACGGCGACCAGTGTACGGCCTGCGTCAGGCGCCCCGCGAGTGGCACGACACACTGAGGACGACACTTGCGGCTCTTGGGTTTGCTCCTTCGACTGCTGACCCGTCGCTGTTTCTACGCACCGACACTTCTCTGCCGCCGTTCTACATCCTCGTGTACGTTGACGACCTGGTTTTTGCTACTGCTGACACTGAGGCACTGGCCCTAGTGAAGGCGGAGTTGCAGGAGAGACACACCTGCACTGACCTGGGTGAGCTGCGGAGCTATCTTGGCTTGCAGATCACCCGGGACAGAGCACGGTGCACCATCACCCTGACTCAGTCACACATGGTGCACCAGGTCCTTCAGCGCTTCCGCTTCACGTACTCCTCGCCACAGCCCACTCCTCTGGCTACCGGCAACTCGCTCTCAGCTCCACCTTCGGACGAGTCCGTAGAGCCGAGTGGTTTGTACCCAGAGCTCGTGGGCTGCCTCATGTACCTGATGACGTGCACACGACCTGACCTCGCGTACCCTCTCAGCCTTCTGGCTCGCTACGTGGCACCCGGTAGACACCGAAAGGTGCACTTTGATGCTGCGAAGAGGGTACTGCGTTACTTGTGCAGCACATCGGGCATGGGGCTCGTGCTTGGAGGACGGGGTTCGGTGGTCCTCACAGGACACTCTGACGCTTCTTGGGCCGACGACCAGGCGAATCAGCGTTCGTCACAGGGTTACACCTTCAGTCTTGGCTCTGGTTCTGCCTCGTGGAGGTCCACTCGTTCTTCTTCTGTGCTTGGTTCCAGCTGTGAGGCCGAGATCTACGCTGGGGCCATGGCTGCACAGGAGCTCCGCTGGCTGACCTACTTGCTGACCGACTTGGGGGAGCGGCCTCGTTCTCCTCCAGTTCTGTACGTCGACAACAAGGCAATGATTGCCTTGTGTCGCGAGCAGAGACTGGAGCACAGAACGAAGCACATTGCTCTGCGCTACTTCCTTGCGCGTGAGCTGCAGCAGCGTGGTCGGCTGCGCCTTGCTTTCGTGGCCTCTCGGGCCAACACTGCTGATGTCTTCACCAAGGCCCTTGGGGCTGGTGATCATCAGCGTTTCTGCACTGCTCTTGGGCTTGTGCCCACTCTGCCTCACCTGCTGGTTTCTTGACTTGCTCTTGTTGTACACTGCTATATATCTTTATACATGCATGTTACTCTTGCTAGGTTGTGATCTGTGTACTGCCTTGCTAATATAAATCTGCATGTGAACTGGCCTTGTGGCCGCCTGCTTGTGCTCAGATTGTGTGGTGTCCTTGAGATCCACCCTGGGCTTTGCCTTGCTTGTTCTCTTGCTTGACTGGTCTTGTGACCACTGTTAGGTTTGGCTATCCCCTACTTCACCTATGGGGGTGTGTCAAAACATATTGTTATGTTCATTTCACTTTAGGTTGTGTAGGGTGCGTGAAATATCTGTGCATGCGATGAATGTGTGCTTATTGACCCATTTGAATAACCATTTATCGCCCATGGCATCCGCATTGTACGATTTTTGTTTTGTTTTGTTTTGTTTTTTTCTCTCTTTCAATCCACCAACCAAGGTGCGGGTGTGGGTCTTTCCGCATGCTCACGTGACCACAACGTGGCCTTGCGTGCCCTCGTTTTGACTTCCCTCCCTCTCCTTGTTTAACTTTGGCTTGCTCTCGTTCTCTCTCGTTCTCTCTCTCTCTCTCTCTCTCTCTCTCTCTCTCTCTCTCTCTCTCTCTCTCTCTCTCTCTCTCTCTCTCTCTCTCTCTCTCTTTCTCTCTCTTTCTCTCTCTCTCTCTCTCTCTCTCTTGCTCTCTCTCTCCTTCCCTCTCTCTCTCTCTCCCTTTCTCTCTCTTTCCCTCTTTCTTTCTCTCTCTCTCTCTCTCTCTCTCTCTCTCTCTCTCTCTCTCTCTCTCTCTCTCTCTCTCTCTCTCTCTCTCTCTCTCTCTCTCTCTCTCTCTCTCTCTCTCTCTCAAGCGGTCCTTCATTGATGTTGGTAAGAGGGTACAGGCATGCAACGGCAGGTTCTAGACAGGTTGGCTACTCTATGCACTTTGGCTAGCAAGTAAGCAAGCAATCAAACTACTACAGGCATACGAGCAAGCTGGCTGGCATACAGGTCACCTTCTCTAGAGCAGCCGCTAGCAACCACTACAGCTGTTTAGTAACCCTGTCCTTGATCCCGCCACCCACTTCTCCTCACCTTCACCCCTATGTATCTCCCACCGGCTCCTACACTCCAGCCATGTCGTCTTCCAGCACCTGCCACAAGTCCCCTAGGCTCGGTTCCCAGGGGTCCATGGCAGCCTGTGGGAAAGCCGCTTCCGCTACCAGGTTGGACTTGTTGAGGAATGAAATGGCCTGGGAGCGCTGTAGCATAACCGACCAGCGCTGTCGGTAGTGTGCATTGAGCCTAGAGGCCGTTGTAGTGAGGGGCCCCTGCCGAAACTTCTTCTTCGCCGTAGCTACAGCTAGCAACCTAAGGAACTGCACCGTGTCAGTCGCCAACGCCCCGTAGGTCTCTGCTGCCAGGCCGAAACACCCTACATAGTCAGGCCTGCCTTCATACAGGCGGTGCTTCTTCTCAGAAGCTTCCCTAGCAGCCCACCCAGGCGGCTTCCGCACCCTAGGGTCCCGCTTCTGCAGCACTGGGTCTGTCACCGTTACATCCGTGACCCAGGTCTCCGCCGATTCCCTGTCCTGGAACGCGAGGTCCGCCCTCTTGCGGTGCACCGGGGGGGAAAACACCGACGTCTCGTGGAAAGTATTGAAGCCCGCCTCCTTTGCCATTCTCAGCGCCGTGTAGACCAGGGCATTGTGCGTCCTCACCACATCACCCCCTTCCCCACACCGGAGCAGGTGATTCGCCAGGCTAGTGTCCTTGATGTCCGAGTTGTCGCGCTTACAGGGGCACTTGACCGTGACTGGTAGGGCCATCCCGAGGCGGAACCCGAGCGCCAACGAGAACTGACCAGGGGCAAATGTAAGGTCAGACCTCGTTGGCACTGCGTGTAGCCAATCCCCGGCTCCCACTCCCTTCAAACTGACCAGCCGGACCCCGTGCCCTTGGTCTTCCCCTGGTTTATCAGCCAATGTGTCAGCTAACAGCTCCCTGGCCCGGACCGCATTGATGTGCTTGGACAGGAGAAGCTGCAAGTTACCCTGCCCTTGAGGGCCCTCCCTGTAGGACTGTAGTGCCGACCGTGCCTCCGCCGGCAGCCCCTCCTCCAGCATAACCAGCACGTTCGACGCTGGGGGCGTTGGGTTCCACTCTCTGGACAGCAGTGTCTCCGCCCGCGCTAGCAACTCCTGCTCCCGCAGGTTCATCTGCTGAAGCAGGTGATGTGCAGCTGTCAGTGACGCAATGTATGCCGCCGGCGCCTCGGAGATGGGGTCGATGATGCTCAGCCCCCCAAGGCGCACAGGCAGCGTAGCCTGTCGCCACAGGAGGCTCTGTTCCAGCTCGCTGGCCGGGACCCGTAGCTTGGCTGCCGCCAGTGCCGCTCCCACCACTCCACACGTTCCAATGCGCTGCTCGGCGTGGTGCGAAGCAGGTATGAGATCATGCGCGAGATGCTGCGAGAGAGAAGTAGTAGGGCGTGTTGCAGGTGCAGCTGCGCGATGAGAGGGACGGGTGCCGATGCTTTGGTGAGCGCCTGTCGGACCTCCGAGGTGCAGTATTCCGGTGTGTCGATGGGGCTCCCAAGCACCTTGATCCCCTCCGCACTCATCCGCAAACCATGTGGCAGTCCCATCTGCCCCTCATCCCCCCCCTGTGGTATCCACGCCGAAGATTTTGCCACGATGCACCGCAGCCCGCGCTTCGCCAACTCCGTGACGATGGCATCAAAGGCGTTGAACACATCCTCCCGTGGCCCCACCACTGTGATGTCGTCGGCGTACGCTACGACAGCCACTCCTGGGTGCATAGTTGCCGTGCACATCAGGGTTGGCTGGATCGCCGCTGCAAAGAGGAGTGGACCGAGGGGATCACCCTGGCGCACGCCGCGGGAGCTCATGATGTGCTCCACACCCAAGGCCGAGTCGACCAGAAGACGCGAAGGTGAGTCATACAGCGTACCGACGAATGGCAGCAGCTGGTGCAGGTCTGAGATCTCTAGTGCCGTGAAAAACGCCTCCCGCTCAACCGAATTAAACGCGTTTTCTATGTCCAGCTGAAGCGCGACGTAGTGTTCGTGTTCCCGGAGTAGAGCGCGTACAGTGTGGATGACGCACTCAGCTCCGCCCGGCACGGACACCCCGTACTGGACGGGGAGGAAGAATTCGCGAATCGTTGGGGCTAACTCGCGTAGTGCTGCCTTCGCTGCTACCCTAAGCAGGGCCTCTCCTATAACAATAGGTCGTACGCCTCCCCCTGGCTTCTCGAGTGCTATCAGCCGGGACGGGAGGAGGATGTCCCTTATCTCTCTCGTTTGCGCGCTGTTAAGAAGCTGGCCGATGACTTTGGTGAGGAGGAGGAGGATTTCCGCGCTGCAGTGGGCCGGGTCCTTTAAGTGCTCGAAACAGGTACCTGAGGGCCCAGCTCCAACCCCATTTGGGCACTTCGCGAGTATTTCGCGAACGTCGCTTGGGGTCAGGTTCAGGGACGAGGCTGGCGCACCCGTGCGGTTGGTTACCCAGCTCGAAATTGGTATTTCCCCAACAGGGTGTTTCGACTGTAAGGCCGCGAGTGTAGCGGGTGTTGGTTCCGCTAGCGGGGTCACTTGTAACGCAGACACTGCTTTTGAAATGTTGGCCTTCTTTATCAGCCCTTCTGCTCGCGCACACAAGCCTGCCTCGTCCGGCTGATGACGTGTCGGAGCTCCAGTTTCAGGGATCACGCACGCCGCACTGTAGAGATCGGCCAGGTCCCCAAGCCTGAAGTGGTGCAGCCGGGTCTCAATCGTTATCCAGCGGTTCCCTTCCACTGGCTCTGGGAGAGGTCGAAGGGTCAAACGGGGCAAGAACTGCAGCACAGTCCACGCCCCCACGCAGTCCGGGTGTGTGGCTAGCCGTAGCAGTGGTGCCAAAAGGCACAGGGAGTAGCTTTTTAGGATCTTTGGGGGCAACCGTCTCACCAGAAACGGTTGGTCTGCTCGCTGAAGTGGCGCGATATCCCAAGTACTGGCCAGTTGCCAGATAGACTCATCCTTCGCCAGCTCAGCGGGTGATTTCTCGGATGGTCGAGCTGGCGCATCCGCGGCCTGTCCTGCTGGCATATTGGGAGGATGTGGCATACCACCGTGCTCCCCCCTCCTCACTCGCCTCTGCTCAACCGTATTCTGATTCTCGTCATCGCCCAGCGAGACCTCCTCCGACGCCTCAGAGTGTGACGGGATAAACTCGCTCCCGTTCTGGGAGTTATCAGAACCATCCTCGCCCCCTGTCACAGGCGCAGCCACCTGCTCTGGACGGTCGTGGCGCTCACGCCACGTGCCTGATCTCACGATCGCAGCCTCTCCCCCCAGAAGAGCAACTCCTCGTCCGCGTGTCCCTCCCCTGCCGCGTGTCCCTCCCCTTCCCCCTCTCCCTCCACGGGGGATCGCGGGGAGTACGCTGTCACCGCCGCCCCTCGCGCTCTCCTGTGCAGACCTTAAACCCCTACCAGCCGGGACCCAGGGGGTCGCCATAGTCGCTCGTCCCGCTCCTGTAGGCCTGCCCCACACGATTCCCCGGCCTCGCGTCGCGCTCCGCGTTTCTCGGTGAGTTTCATGCTGGGTCGTGGGTGTGATAATTGGTTGTCGCCCCGGACTGGCCTGCTCGGCGCCCCGTTGTGCTTGACCAACCTCACCCCTGTTGCTCCTCCTGCTGGGTCCCTCCACAGGCTGTGGCGCCGATGGCAACGAATGCGCTTGCTCTGGTGGCGACTGCCCTTGCCGAAGCCAGCCCAGGAGGGGTCCCGGGGCCCCAGGTCCCAGCCCTGCTCCAGGCCGCCTCGGTGCTGGCTGCACGCGCAGCTTCGTCTTCCTCCTCGCCGGGGCGGCGCCGGAAGCGACGGCGATCGCAGGGCCCTCTGTTCCGCCCTCCGCCTGGCCGAGCTCCTGCGTGTTTGCGGCCGCGGCAGCAGCAGGCATTCCGGCGGACACAACGGCAGTCGGCACGCCCGCTCCCATCGGGGGTTGTCCTTGTTGCCTCGCTGCCTCAGCCACGACCGCCGCAATCTCCGTCCCCTCGAGAGTTGGCGGGGAATCTGCCACTACTGGCGTCGGTGACTCGGGCAGCCCCTGCCCCCCCTGCACCTCCTCCACAGTCAGACCCCCGTCCGCCAGTGGCGGGGTCGCCGCTGCCGGCCGCACCACCGCGGGTGCGACTAAGCCGTCGTCAGAGGCGGCAGCAGTCACGGCAGCAGGCCAGCACTCCACCAGCCCCACCCCTACCGAATCAGCCGCCGCAGCCTCAACGGTCTCCGCTCCCCGCGTCAACCCAGGCTCCACAGCAGCAGCAGCCTCCCGTGAACTTGCTTCCCCTACCCCAACGTCCGCCACACCATCCGCCGGCGCCTCCAGCGCCGCCACTCCCTCCTGCTCCGCCCGCTCCTCACGTTGCTGCTCCTGTAGCCGCGACGCCTCCCCTCGTCGAGCAGCGCGTTGTGCACGTGGGGACGTGCTTAACGCTGCTATCATACGTACTGGACCAGCTCCACGTGTGTTTGGCGCGTCAAGACTTGGGGATTGGGGAGATGTTGCCAGCGGAGCGGTCTGTGGCAGTGGCAGCGGCAACGGAGATGCTGCACTATCTGCCTTTGATCGGCCTTGTGCCGGGCGCTCCTGGTGCCGCGCTCGGGCCCGGCCCCCGGGCAATGGTAAGGCTTGCTGAGTCTGCCAGGGGGAGCCCCCTCGGTCTTGTGTTAGCAGCCGCATCCGTCCTCCGTTGGATGGACGGGAGGCTGTGCTGGATCCTCGCCGAGTGACTGTTGTTTTTCTCTTGCAGGCCCCGGTGGTGCTGGGCCTTGCCTTAGGCTTCCCCATGGCGGAAATCCCTCGCCTGGGGGTGTTGTTCTTGATTTGCCTTGCTAGTGACCCATTGTGTATTGACTGCTGTTGAAAGTCTTGTGTTGCTTCTCCCCTTGCCACCCCTCACGCGCGGCCGAAGGCCGCGCTGGCGAGCGGCGGCCGCCGAAGGCGGCCGGCGCGAGCCGCCGGATTTGGGGAGTGATCCTAACTCACCAGTGAATAATGAGCTCACTAGCCTAGATCCAGGGCCTTTATACTAAGGAAACAGGCCTAGAAATGGCTAAGGACTAGATCCTAGAGAAGAGAGGCATAGAAATGGCTAAGGACTAAGACTATGCCATCTCTCTCTCTCTCTCTCTCTCTCTCTCTCTCTCTCTCTCTCTCTCTCTCTCTCTCTCTCTCTCTCATCTCTCTCTCTCTCTCTCTCTCTCTCTCTCTCTCTCTCTCTCTCTCTCTCTCTCTCTCTCTCTCTCTCTCTCTCTCTCTCTCTCTCTCTCTCTCTCTCTCTCTCTCTCTCTCTCTCTCTCTCTCTCTCTCTCTCTCTCTCTCTCTCGCTCTCTCTCGAACGAGCCGCCGGATTTGGGGAGTGGTCCTAACTCACCAGTGAATAATGAGCTCACTAGCCTAGATCCAGGGCCTTTATACTAAGGAAACAGGCCTAGAAATGGCTAAGGACTAGATCCTAGAGAAGAGAGGCATAGAAATGGCTAAGGACTAAGACTATGCCATCTCTCTCTCTCTCTCTCTCTCTCTCTCTCTCTCTCTCTCTCTCTCTCTCTCTCTCTCTCTCTCTCTCTCTCTCTCAAGCGGTCCGTGTATTAGATCCAAGCAAATACAGACATGCAAAGGATAGAGATGCTACTCATACAAATCATCTTCTAACCCACACATCCCACTCACCCCCCTCCCCCTCTGCTCCGTCTAAGGGAGCTCCAGCACCGGCTCTAAGATGGCCAGGCAGTCCCCAAGGGACATGCCCTCGCCTGGCATCTCCGCAGGTGGGTTCTCCACCTGTGCCGCGTAGCTGCATTTCTCCATAAAGCTCACCGACTGAGCACGCTGCAGCGCCACGGACCACCTCTGGCGGAACTGGTGCAGCAGCTTCGTAGCCTGGTAGGATGAGGGGGCCGCGTTGAAGAGCCTGCGGGCGGCGGTCTTGGCTAACAGCTTGAAGAATTGGGGCACTTCCTCGCAAGGGCAGCCGTAGGTGTCAACGGCGAGTGGGAAGAATCCGACCCACGAAGCCGTTGAGCCTTCGTAGTCGGAGATCTTCTTCTCCGCCGCTTCACGGGCTGCCCACCCCCTGCCCTTGACTGCGTTGGGGTCACGGGTGCTGATGGGGTCCGTGATTGTCACGTCCCCAATCCAAACCGCCCCCGAGGACTTGTCCCTGATTGCTATGTCCGCCTTCTTCCTAGTGACGGGGCAGAATGCGGTTGTCTCTCCATGAGTCATGAAGTCCGCGTCGTTGGCCATCCGGAGGCACTCATCCCGCAGCTCATTATGGGTGTTGGTCCTCCCCTTCCCTGTGTCACAGCGCAGAAGGTGGTTGGGCAGCCGTCGGTCTGTGATTGCCGTGTTGTTGCGGCAGTCACAAGCCCCAGGTGCAGAGGAGGGAAGCCCCATTCGGAACTGCAGTGCGTGGGCGAAGTGATCTGGAGCCAGGCGCATCGACTTGTTAAAGGGGACCGCGTTGAGCCAGTCCCCTGCCCCATACCCCGAGAGGGAGAGCATACGTTGCGTGTGCCCGCTAAGGGGGTTGAGCGGCATGTCGCGCGTGGTTTGGACCTGCTCGGCGTAGCGGCGTCCGTGGACCGCGATTGCCAGCCCGTGCTGCAGCTTGATGCCTTTGGGTTCGGCGCGGTCGCTCTGCAGCAGCTCCTTCCCGTCCTCCGGCAACATCTCCTCGCAACTCTCCAACCAGTCAAACAGCGGGGACGTGTTGAGGTAGGGTCCCGCCATCTGGATCCGTGTTTCTGCCAAGGCGCCGACCGCCGCCTCGTCAATGGAGGTGAGCAAATGCTGCGCCTGCGTGTAGCTCGCCAAGAACCCTACGCGACCCTCCTCCGACGGGTCCGTCAGACCCAAGCCTCCAAGTGAGATCGGGAGTGAGGCTTGGGCCCAGGTCCGTGCTATCTCAGCCTCCCCCCGTGGGTGTCGAATGCCGCAAGCCGTCAACAGTGTGTCAAACAATCCCTTGCCCCAGTCCGACCATTCCTCCACTGGCAAGGGAGAGAGCGGAGTGGTGCGCGCGACATAGGAGACTCGCCGCGAGATGCATCTGGTAAGCAGGAGAGACGCCAGCTGTGGCTCCATTCTCGCAATTAGGCGAAGTGGGGCTCCCATTGTGTTAAGGCTGTCGCGTAGGAACGCTGCAGTTGCGTCGTTTCCGCCGACGAAGCTGCCCAGCACCTTCACGCCGTCATCAATGAAAGGTACGCCCTGCGGCAGGGGTGTTGACTGACGGCCTGCCTGTGACCATGCCGCACACTTAGCGGGGTTGTGTTGTAGCCCAATCTCCCCAAGGCTTCCTGTGAAGTGCCCAAACGCCGCCGCACAAGCCGCTGCTTCTCCAAGAAAAGTGACGTCGTCCGCGTATGCCAGGCATACCACGGACGGGAAGGTAAGTGCCATGCTTGTCAACGCGGGGTGAATGGCGGCAGCAAACAGCAAGGGGCCGAGGGGATCTCCCTGCCTCACCCCGGTTTCGCTCAAGAGTGGTGGGTGCGAGAATCCGGCATCCAGGCATAGGGAAGAGGGGTGGCCATATGACAGTTTCACGAGTGGCAGTAGCGGAGCTAGCGTCGAACCTCGAAGCGACTCCGCGATGGCCCCTCGGTTAACACTATTGAAAGCGTTCGCCAGGTCGGCCTGCAGAACGAGCGCTCCAGGGTTGACGGTAAGAAAGGTTCGCATGATGTGGATGATCGCCTCTGCTCCCCCTGGAACCGCTACACCGAATTGATGAGGTAAGAAGAAATATCGAGCGGCGCCCGCCGTCAAGGTAAGAGCTGTTTTGGCAGCGAGGCGAGTGATGCTTTCGCCGATGGCTATCGGCCTCGTCCCCCCTCCTGGTTTGGTAAGGGCAATCAGGCGAGAGGCGGTGAGGAGTTCGGCTATTGCGCGAGGTAATTTTCCAGTGAGTATGGTGTTGACTAGCGCATGCAGGTGCTTCCCCACTGAAGCGTTGATCAGAGATGCGTCCCGCAGGTGTTCGAATGTTGTTCCTGATGGCCCAGCTCCTACTCCCATCTCACACCGACCCAAAACCTTGGAGAAGACCTCGTAAGGCGCCGAGAGGTGAGGGTCTGGTGTGGGAAATATCCAGTCAGGTGGGGAGGCGGGCGCAGGTGGATGCTTGGCGCGTAGTGCCTCCAGCACAGCCGGCGATGGCGTGCAAACTGGCGTGGCCTCTAAGGCCATGACGGCCCGTCGCAGGCTGCCACGTCGAGCTAGCCCCTCAGCTCTCGCGATGACCCCAATGTCATCCGGCTGGTGTCTGGGTGGCTGGGGACGGGTCAGTGAGTCCACGGTGTCCTTGTACAGCTCATCCCAGTCCCCACACATGAATTTGCTAAGTCGTGCGCTGACTGCCTTCCAATCTGGACGCCTGGGTGACAGCTGGCGAAGTGTGAGTCGTGCGAGGAACAAGAGGACGACCCAAGCAGAGTGTGAGTCTGGATCGTTCGCCAACCGCAGCAGAGGTACCAGCAGGGCGGTGGCGAAAAGTTTGCGAGGGTCGGGTGGGAGGTGGCGGGAGAGTGGTGCGTGGCGACTGTCGCGCAATTTCGTCAGGTCCCATCTTCCAACCCCAGCGAATAGCACGTCGTCCTTGGCGAGTGTTTCTGGGGATTTTTCCTCTCGCGCGTGGGTTGGGATGGGGTTACCGCCAGGTGCAGATTGTGGGGCGGCTCGGGAATGGGTTGGAGTGTGGGAAATTGGTGGTGGGGGTGGGGGGTTTGCAATGTTGCCCGATGCGGCTCGGGTTGGTGTTGGGGGTCCCCTCCGTGTGGATCTCGCAACTGAGGATCCTCCCGCCCTGTGAGTTGGGGCTGCTCTGGTTGCTCTAGCAGGAGTCTGGGTTTGGGGTTCATCCACAGACTCAGAGCTAGAAGTCGAGTCTGTGGATTCCGCAGGTACAAAGCTGCTGCCTGATGATGTCTCCTCATTATCATCTTCCAGCTCGTTTAAAGCCCTCCGTCCCGATTGTTGATACACATTCTCAGGTCCTCCTCCGCTAGCCCGTCGTCCGCGTCCCACTGCTCCCCGTCCGCCATGTCGACCGCCTGCTGAGCGAGCGACATCCTCCCCGCGCTCCAATGTCTGCTGATGGCGGCCATGGTCGGGAGCGCATCGCGGAGAGCGGTTCTGCTCCCCGTCCGCTCCCCCCCGCGCGTCCCGCTGCGAGCGTGCCCGTTGCTCCGCTGGCATCTGCTGATCAGATACGCCGTCGCTTCGAGGATCTGCGGCGCGATCTGACTCCACGTGGCGGAAATTCCCTGCCGCAGAAGGAGCCTGCCCGCCAGGCGTCCGTCGTGCGCTCCGGCGTAGAGGCTGCGGCGCCCCGGGCACGATCGCCTCGCCGTCGTTCGTCTGAGGCGCGTGACGACAGGCAGGGGAGCCGCCGTGGCGGTCGTCACCTTGAGCCGCGATCGTCACGATCTCCGCGC